GAAATTGCCATTTGTGTGTGTAAATATTTCTTTGGAAACATGATTTGTCTCTGTGATGCCTGTCAAACATTATATAATAAACAGGACTGAAGTCTGATGCTTAAAAAAAACTTAGTAATGCTTGTGCCATATATACACAGTTACACATTTACTTAATTTCTCTTCAGTAGTGTATATCCCAAAAATCTCATCTACAAACCAAAGCAATGCTGCTGTGTGGAAATGAAATAAGCCAGAAGTTTACCCAGCTCAGGCAATACCTTTTCTCACCAGCAAGACATTTTTTCACAGATGCAGAACTACATCGTTTATCAAATTCTTTCATACATGTGTGAACATGATTATATTTCTGTGTGTTTATACATGTGTGACCTGGAAATTCCACGCGTGTAGAATTTACGTGTGAGAGAGATGAGTTGGCAGACCTAGTGGAAGACCTCAAACATGCCAGCATGATTGGCAGTCATAGGAGGGGGCTGACTTTATATAAAAAGAGCTTCTCAGGAAGTCAGCTGGTTGACTGGCTGCAAAAAGAGAAGGGCATGGGTAAGTAAGGCTGTCAGTGATATAGGTAAAATCTTATGCAATTTTCCAAGCGCCCTTATCCTTACAACACAGTCAAATTCAGTTCTGTCAGCACTTGATTGTGGCTATGTGTACACTAGCCAGGGCTGCAGCCTGTAATACTGGACAGGCATTGTTGAAGAAGAAGTACATGATCAGAGTTCATGGCTGTGAGCAGCAGGATGGCAATTTTGGCGAAGGAAAAGACACCATGGATGCACTGTACAGACTACTGGAGGATGATTCAGCTCTCAACGCAGGACAGACTGCAACCTGCAGTCCCATGCAGGGTACGTCAGGACCAGATCAGGCTTGGAGTGTGCACGTATCGCATTTTAGGTTCACTCTGAGCAGTGTCTTTCAGCACTCTACTAACCCACGTCCTTTCTTTGCTGCTAACTTAGCATATGATCCTTCTGGGTTTGCTTGGGTTTGTGGCTTTAAGAGCTGAAATATGGTGTATCCAATAAAAACATCATTGCTCATTAGCTTGCAACGCCTGCGTGACTGAGTGCATTCTCTGTCTTGAAAATCTATGCAGTATTTAAAAAAATACTTACACTCATTGTCTTCATCAGTGAGTTAAGATAACTTAGCAAATTTAGACTAAATAAATAAACTAAATTTGATCATAAATAATGCTTTATGATGATATTATGCATAAAGTGTATCAGGCTGCAAAGAACCTAGCTGGATTTCAATGTCGGCTGTTTCACAACAGTTTCCTGCTTTGCTGTGGGCTTGGGTCAAATTAATACTTGGTTTTAATTTCCTGTCAGATATTCCTTTACTTCTGTAATGGTGGTGGTGAGTCATATTGGCTGGCTCTGTGTTGGTGTGTTTATACCTGAAAGCTGCACACTTGTAGAACCTGTAGAGTCACACCATGATACCAGCAGGATTTTACCCAGCTTCCTTTTTTTTTCTATAGCGCCTGATTAAAAAGCACAATTAGTTTTTTCCTGTATTTGTTTTCTTTTTGTTTTTTTTCCCAGCTCGTGTTTAATATTTTGAATTTTGACTTTGAACTATGTTGATTTTTATTTCATGTTTTTCTCTCTTTGTCTTCCTGCCAGCCGCTGAGCTCTCTTTGCTTTTACGGGAGATGATTCTGAAATTGTTCTCGGAGCATCTCTCTGCCGATGGCAAGGTAATGTTGTCCCTGATGCTCACTGAGTGCATGTTGCTATTTTGTAAAAGCAACAGTGCATTTGGATCTGTGCCACACAGTGTGTACTGTTGCACTGGGCAAGCTGTGTGTTCATATGAAGTTTCACTTTGGCAAACAGAAAAAACTTGTCTGAAAACATTTCTACTGTATTTTTCACTGCAGCTCTTTTTGTGACCTACATTCAAGGTTGTTTGTCAAGATATTTTGACAGGATAATGCTTCTCTGATACGTTATCCCTGTACAAACGGTTAAATTAAATGCATGTACTTTGTGTCCATGCTCCCACAGTCTGTGGACTATAAAGGCATGTCAGCAAATCCTGCTTTTGAGCGTTACTGTGAGCTAGCTATTCAGCTGCAGAGGGTGGAGTTGCTGTCGCTTAGCAGGGAGGAGAAGCTGGCCTTCTTCATCAATATCTACAATACATTAGTCATCCATGGGTACCTGCGCCTGGGGGCTCCCACCAACATGTGGCAAAGATACAGAGTAGGACTACACAGCTACAATGTCTCCCCCAGAATTCCTTTGTAATATCAATAGGACTTATGTGCTGAAATTAGGAATGTTTTGAACTGTTTTGTAGTTCTTCAATTATGTGAGCTACCTGATTGGAGGAGAGGTATTCACGCTGCAGGACATTGAGAATGGTATTCTTAGAGGGAACAGAAAAGGTGTCGCACAGCTTCGAAGACCCTTCTCCAAAACGGACCCACGACTTCAAGTATTCACACATTTTGATAGCTGAATTTATGTGGTGACAGTTTTCTTTAGAGTTAACTAAAGGTCATGTCTCTTGTTGTCCACTAGGTGGCACTTCCAGATGCTGAGCCACTGATTCACTTTGCCTTGAACTGTGGCGCAAAGGGCTGTCCACCTATTAAAACATACACACCACAAGTAAGTGATTTCACTTTAGCATTTTTGATTCTGAGAAGGCTTAGCTAAAATAAATACACTTGGAAACTCCCTCTTCTGTCACAGTTTTTACAGTTGTGAAATTGTCCCATAGATTTCATATCAGGTTTCCCAAGTTTTGCCACTTATAATGTCTCCCATAATCGCGGCAGCCTGAATGGTCAGAAATTAATTCTCATGTGCTCGCCCCTCTCAGGACATTGACAGCCAGCTCCGCACAGCAGCCGAGGCCTTCCTGGAGAATGATGACGCCTGTGTGGTAGATTCTGTGAAAAAAGAAGTGCACCTAAGTCAGATATTTAAGTGGTACAAAACTGACTTTGGAGGCACAGATGAGAAGGTATTTTTAAGTTTAACAGCTGTATGTGTGCACATGTATGGATCCTTTTTTTAAAGTTTTTTTTTCTGTTGCATCCCCTTCTATCTCATAGCTGCTGGGATGGGTGCTGGATCACATGGGTGACTCACCGAAGAAGACCAGCCTGCAGGGCATCGTTTCTGCTGGAAAGACCAAAGTCAGTTTTCTCCCTTACGACTGGAGCTCCAACAGCACCCACTGAGCTCACACACAAATGCATTCACACCTACCTGTATGTACGTCTACATGTTTTACATCCATTGTCTTCTGATTGAATCTGTACAAAATGGAAAAACACTTATTCTTAACCATGCGTATGTTTTATACAGAACATAATGTATGTCCCTGTGACATGAGGAGCACATTTGCACTGTATTTTACTGCTGTCTGTTCCAGTTTTCTGCTCTCATTGTGAGCTCCTACACCCCATCTTTTGATGCTGTGTAAATACTAGAGAATTTGGTAAGATCATCTCAGTATTTTCTACACATGAATGGTGTACTCCAGCAGCTTGATAGCATCAAATGCACACTAAACATATTTTATTATCTGTAACCATAGTTGTGGCTCTCCTTTCCATGTCAGCCACTCAGGAGTCATAGATGATCCCATTCCTCTCTGTCCAGCTATTCGTGTGGTGCGTATAATTATAGCAGATGGAAACGATAACTTGGCTTATCAAACATACTGCTTTTATAAGCCATAAGAAAACCTTTTGAACTTTAAAGAAAAACACTCATTCATGTGCAGCAGACTGCACCTTCTTCTCTCTGGTCCTTCATTTAAGCATTTTGCAACCTACATATTTAAATGATTTGATTTTGCATTCTGCGGGGCAAGGAAGGATTAGCTGCTGCACCTTTTTATCTTTTAAATGAAATTGAATATAGGTGTGGATATTATATAGTCACAACTCAGCTTGTGACTGTAGAATCTGAAATGCAAGGTGAAGATTTTGTAAATAATGATCCGTTTTGAGTTTATTTGCGGTTAACAACCCCTGAGCTTTTTTTAAAGGGGACAAATGAAATCTGGTTGTGCTGCTCTTATCGTCCTAGTTGGTCAGCATAGGATGCACTCAGTGAGTAGTTGATTTACGTCAGCAAAGGAGCACCTTCTGTGTGCACTGTGTAGAACGCACAGACATATCCAGTGTCCGCTGCTTAGACTTTATTTAAATGTATGGATCAGTTTGTCTTCCTATCAACCATAGGTAAACTTATTCTTCCTCTATGCATGTTAGCCTATGTGGCTTTTCAACCCTCTTTTTAATCCAGGTATTCCACTGTAAATTGCAGAAGTGCTATTACTGTGTTTTGGGTTTTTTAGCACCGTTATTTGTTTTAAAAAGAAAATTATGAACCATTTATCAAAACCAAACCCGTTCGGGATGCACTCTGACACTTTGCATGTTTTTTGCCAACTTATGCTACTGAGACATATTTGTACTTTTTCACAAGGTCGTTGTTCTGTTTGTCTGTATGTGAATAATGTGCTGTTGATCCAGCTTTTTATTTCAGCATGTCTACAGAAACTGGACAAAAAAGTCTTTAGAAGTGTACATTACCAAAATGTACCAAATGTACACTTGGTCATTAATTCAATAGGATATTAGTGTATTTAGTTTCACCTTGAACACGTTTACAAAAACTATTCTTATTTAGGAGTTGAGCTTTTCTTTAAACTTAGCCTTTCAATTAAATTTTAGTATGGTGCTTCATTGTACATTGCATAGCAGTGCAATAACGTTCCATTAAGTTTCTATAATGTGTTGTCTTAATTAAGATTTTCTTATCTCAGGTCAAAGCAAAATCTGACACCAGGTTGTTTGATGTCATCAGTGCATCGTATGCTGCATGTTTTCTAGTCTTAGCATTTCTGTATAGTTTGTATTTGTTTGCAAAATCATTTTCAACATTTGATTCCTGCACACTGCTGTGTTTTTGTTAAGGCTACAAACAGCACCAAAGCAAATGGTTAAATTAGCATGTCTCAGAGCTGGAACACATTTGCTGCATGAGTTAGAGAAATACCCTTCAGTCTTGAATAGTAACTATAACAGGACTGCCTCTGCTGGCTAGCGTGTTTTTTGTTTGTTTGTTTTTTTGTTTCCTTCCCCCAGCCTGTATGCTTAGACGTAAAGTGTCAGATATCAAAGTACACAAAGTAAAAAAAAAAACACATTTGATAAAAGTCAGTCATACACTGATTACTGCATATAGACTTGAGGACACCAGTCTATTTAACAGACTAGGTTTTCTTTGAACGCAGCCTTCAGCAACAAAGTGCACCTTTGGCTTTACTATATTAGTGTTAAGAGTGGTTGACACTTTGTGGACTAAATTAAACAACACAAGATTTTTATGTTTATGGATGTTCCCTGTCTCCCCCCCCCCCCAAAAAAAAAATAAAAAATAAAAACATACCTCATGTATCAGGAAGATGTGACGCAAAAACCTTTTTTAAACAATTCTAATATCACTGTTCCTCTTTCCTAGGATTGACAAAAAAAAATTACATCCCTAAATAAATAAATATGCAATGTTGACCTATATGCATATACTGAGTTTGTGTTTTCCTTTACTATACTACCCCACAGCACGCAACCCAAGCTTTAAAGCAGATCACACTGGAGGGCAGAGGTTTAGTTTGTTTATTCAAACAAATTTCTTCACTTTTTTCTTTAAGAAAAATAGATGGGGAATCAATACCTTTACAAATCCAATCTATTGACATTTGTACATATAAATAAGCAGGTTTAAGTGCACCGTCTTATATAAACATTACATCAAAAAGGTATTAAACAGATCAACCACCTGAAAGGTTCATATATGATAAATGTGAAATACTCTACATAAAGAAATGCACAATCATTGTTTAAACCAACTTAAAAGAATAAAAACTTTAAAGCAAGCTGGTACTGTATTAGTTACATTGTGTTTATCATCCTACAGTGTGAACACTGATTCAGTCTTGGCACTAACAGAATTGTGAGTAATGCATACGCTGTACAGAAAGTTTGACAAAATGAAGGCAGATTTACATTGTTTCAAACGTTTTGGCCACGGCCCTAATACATAATTGTTGTATCACAACTAGAGAAATTTAATAAAGGCAACCCCAGTCCTGCCCAACTGCTACCCACATGATTTTCTTAGTTTAAAATGTGCATTTGTGACGGGGGTTTGAAGGACTTATTTAGAAAATAGATTTTACAGTGTACAAAAGTTACGATGATGCAGCCATCTGATATCCACCTTTACAGTCTAGTAAGTTCTCAAGTGCTCTACGATACAAACTAAGTGGTCCATGCCTCATTTGGAAGACCACAGAACATCCATGTTGTTTGCACACTGCAATTCACACTTCCAATGATGAACTGTGTGTAGAATTCATTCTCTTATCCAGTCTCTAAAGACTCGTGAACACCACAGCAGAGGGAATGGGTCCATTATTCAGATTCCCGTTACCTGACAATTAGTGTATTAACCAAATTTACATGGACTTGACAAAGTCAGCAGGTCAAATTAGTAAAAAAAATAAATAAATAAAAAAAATAAATAAAACAACAAATTAGATGGAGTAGTCAAGGGTCCGAGGCATTTTTCAGACTCGCTTTAAAATTTGTTTACTAAAGTTTTTATAATCAATGTTTGTTTTTTTTAAAAGGGTGAATAAATATTGTGTGTAGTTTCAACCCAAATTTGTTTTTGTTTTTTTTAGGTACTAGGTATTTTCTGGTTTACATCTCCTTTGCCTCAAGCACTATGACTGATCATTAAGAAAGGATTTTAGTGTTTAGTTGTCATGAAGGCCCCTCCTGAGCCAAGTAACAGAAATAGCCATTCCAATTGCAACTCCTCTTCACACTCCTGCAAATATTAACCTAAAAAACAGCAAGGGGAAAAAACAGTTACTGGTTGTTCAAGGTAATAATAATAATAATAATTTAAAAAAAAAACAGGGTCAGAAAATGGAGTTAAGCAAACTTACTTTCATCATCTGAATCAAAGCCAAAGAGGGAAGAGCACGTGTTGAGGGCTTTGTGTTTCTGCAACTCCTCCAGACTGCTGTAAGAGGAAAGGCATTTATCACAGCGATGTCTGATCTTATGCTCGGGGGCCACATCCTCCACCTGCTGCTCCTTTTCTGGATCAGGGTCCTTCTTTTTCTTATGACTCCAATAAATAATTTTCTTGGGAGCATCATCAGTGGACCTCCTTTTGCGCATTGAAAGCACAGATTCATCCAGGTAGGTGGACGGAGGTGGCCGGATGAAAGGGGCCTTGACAAAAGTTGCGTAGGAGGGATCTTCGGGTTTGAAGGTTTTGTGCTCGGGAATGTGTGGCTCTGCTATATTCTGTTGGACTCCCTCGGCCAAAGTAGAAATATCTTCCAGATCTCTGACGTTTAAAGGGTCTACCTCGACAGTTGGTCTTTTTCGACATCTTTTGGTGGGAGTCGCTGAAGCAGCGTTAGTGTGAGAAGCGGGCATAAACCCCTCTGAAACATTTATTTTCACATCTTCATATCCATTGATGGTAGGTTTGGTATCATCTGTGTGCTGATCTGCAACAGTTTTCTCCGAATAGTTATCAGATTTAAGAAGATTATTGCTTTGCGCATTTATTCCACCAGTCTCACCATCAGTTTTGTTTATTAGTGTGAGATCCTCAACACGAGAGGCCTCACCATCAGGAATGGGACTCTCCTGCTGCCCCTTTCTACTCTGTAGCCATATCTCCTCGACCTTCACTCTCTGTTTCCATGGAGCTTCAGCGCTTTCCTTTATCAGTTTGCTGGGTCCCAATTCTAGCTCGTCTTTCTGCGGGACTGGGACATAGTGCCTCCATTCATGGTCATATAGACCCAGATAACTTGAGAAAAGTTTCTCACAGCCAGTGAAAGGACACTGAGGTCGGAAGGGCTGGTGGGTATTTATGTGATCCTTTAATTCCTGCTGTGTCACAAAGCGCTGCTTACACTCTAGATGGTAGCAGAAGTGTGGAAGAGGACTACTGTGGCTCTTCATGTGGTCCTTATAATGCTGAAGAAACTGAATCTGCCTGTTGAGAGAGAAAAAACAGTGCGTAACATGCTGAATCAACTTCCCAAATTCAAACCCTTTAACTGTACATGTATGGAGTCTTTTAGTGTTTTACAATCAGTTAAGAGACCGCCTTTTTTTATTTAATTTTTTTAAATATCTGCAGTTATTTAAAGTTCTCTTACCTGAGGCAGAGGGTGCACTTGTGTTTGGCCCAAACAAAAGTCTTCTCTAGCACCTTGTCTTCAGTGATATGGCATTTGATAGCATGCTTTGTTAGTGTGTTGGTCATCCTCAAGAATACTCTATCACAGGAGTCAGACGGGCACAAGTGGTATGTGATGTCTGCACCACAAGCATTTTCTCCCGCAGGCGTCTCCTGCCCCTCTTCTTCAATCACAGATGGATTACTTACAATTACCAGGCCTTCTTTAATGATTACCTGCTCATCCTTAAAGTCGATTTGTTTGAATATATTTGTGTTAGGTTTTTTGCATTTTTTGTGAAGCACAGATGTCTTCTTGATGAGGGTACGGAGGTTCCTGATGATTCGTTCTTCCCTCTTGAGATGTGACACTTTAGCTTTGCTTCCGGATCTCTGTCCAAGAGTTTCGTCCTCAGAAATAGAAGTCTGTTTTTTATCCCAAGGCTTGCACTTATTTCCTGCATTGTCTATTACTCCATTAGCAGCTTGAGCATTTTCAATGGATGGCTCCTTATTAGAAGATTTTTGTTTGCACATTGTATCAATGTGCTCAAGAATGTGCTTTTTGGCAAAAGGAAGCTGTTTGAAGCGTTTTCCGCAGAGAATGCATCTTAGTTTCCTACTTTTGAGGTGCGAGAGAGCATGTCTCATAACATTCAAGCCTTTGTAGTCTTTGCCACAGAATGTGCAGTAGTGGGACAAATGAGAATATTGTTGAGTACGGAGAGCCCTGTCCTTCCATGTTCTCTTAACTTTTACCTGAAAAAGAGAAAAGTCAAATCAGAGCTGGAAGCAGCAGAGCATCAATTCACATCATGTCACTGCATGCAAAACTGTACTTCTCCTGAAGTGTATATGTGCAATCAAATGCAACCCAATATGAAGAAAAGAGAACATACTTCAAATATCTCCCTGTAATAATTGACTTTCATAGCAACATTTCTTAAATTACAGTACTGTGCAAAAGTCTGTGGTCCCCAGCAGTGATGGGATTAACGGCGTTGCAAGCAACGGCATTTCTAATGGTCATTAGAAAAGCCTACCAGATCGTCTACCAGAAAGTGATTGCCGCCCGCGGGAGCGCGCGCAGCTGCTTAAGATGACAAAGCAACAAGGTGATATGTACCAGTTTTTAAATTGTGTTGATAGGCCACGTAAAACCAGAGTCATGA